GGAATGTGAAGAAAGTCAAGTGTTCATGATATACTACACTCCGAGATAATGAGAACGATATTCTAAGAAGGTTGAGAGGTAGTGAGAACAGTTAGGAAGGGTTTTTGGAAGGTTCAGAACAAGTTTAATTGCGAAATTTTAAGACTGGTCATCTTGAACTGGTTCAAGAGGGCTGAACCGGTTCAAGAATCCGTGGGATTCTTTACTGTCCATCTTGAACCGATTCAGCCAACTGGTTCAAGATGGCTGAACCGGTTCAAGAACTCCTGGATGCATCAGGTTTCCAAGTTACCATCTGATGTTTCCTTTTTAATCCCAGCTTCCTTCCACGTCCTATACACGAAATTTATCATATTTTCTGAGGGATTAGGACTTTCAAAACTCTATATAAACCATGTCATGTACATTGGTTTATTCACGACTTTAGGGAAAATCAATTCTATATTTTGATAAAGCCTTTAGAGAGAGAAAAATTCAGAAAATCAAATCTGATTATTCTAAATTTATTTTTGAGAGCCCACATATATATTCATAAGTGATTTAATTGTAGTGTTCTCTATCTTATCGGAATTAGAGCTGTATTGAAGATTCAGATATTCTGGATGACCAGCAGGATTTAATTCTTCTACAATCGCATTCAGATCTTGAAGAACAGAAGTAAATGCAGTCACACTTTGAAAGGGTTGGAGCATTCGAGGAGTGTTGTCTGATTTACCTGCTACTCTTTTACAAATATCAAGTGTAAGCCTGAGATCAAGTTGCTATTGGACGGGGAGTCGCAAAGCCAAAGGATCGTCAGCGATTGGTATGATGTAGAACGATAGGGTGTGAGCCAGAGTCAAAGTTCGATATACTTTGTTTGAAACATAGTGGATTGGTTTACTTTGGACTGCACAGTCCACAAGGTTTTTTCCATAATAGTTTACGTATTTTATCAACTGGGGTTTCCTCGCTAAAATCCTGGTGCAATCTCTCTAACTCTAACTTGCTTTACTTTTCATATATTTGTGATTGTGGATGTTTAAATTGATTGTATAATTTAATCAATCATAAATTGAGTAATCAGATCTAGGTCATTAAGAGAGTTAATCATAATTAAAATCAACTGACTCTTTCCACACCCCGCATAACTCTTGTTTTCATAATTTGGTATCAGAGCGGGTTACTTGATATACAGAGTAGATCAGATCATAATTGTTAATTAATTGTTGATTTTTGCATCATGTCTGAAAATTCATTTGTTGATGTGTTGCCTTTAATTTCTGTTTTTGATTCTATCACAAGCATACAAATTGGATGGTCTAAGTTCAAAAAGGATTTTGAAAATTTGTTAGAAAAATTGAATCTTACGGAACTTGATAGAGACATTTATAAGTTAGAAGTTTTTGTCTCTAATAAAAATTTGGAAGAAATTGGCCATAAAAATTTAAATCTTCTTCATAAGATTGATTTTCTGGAAAAGGAACTTAAGAAGGTAAATTTGGTTAATAAATCACTGGAACTTAAAATTGATAATTTGAGTAGTGAATTTGTTAAATCAAAACAGTATTTTTAGAAAGTTGATATTTACACTTGCAAAATTGATAAGTTGAAAGGCGTAGTTGGAAATGTTATGAGTAAAAAAGATTTGGCATTAACTTCATAGGATTTGTATTTTCAAAAATCGAAGGATGGTTTTTTGGAAGTTGAAACCAAACTTTTTTTATTTCTAATTCTCCTAAACTTATTTCAACATGTCATTTTTGTGGTGAAAAAGAGCATATTAAGTATAAGTTTAAGAAAAGAAAAATTAAACTAGGGAAGAATTTGAAAAATCTAGAAAGTTCAAATTTGAAGAAGAAGATGATTAGGACTGTTGAGCCTTGTGACACTTTGCCTAGAACAATAGGGAAATCATTGCATAATGAATCTAAAATTGTTTGGGTAAAGAAAGAGAATTTTAAGTGTCTTGTCATGCACACTGCACTTAGAGCACTTGGTCTATGTAGTTGGTATTTTGATAGTGGTTGCTCTAGGCATATGATAGGGGATAGAACATTATTTACCACTTTTAAAGAATGTTCAGTTGGTACTGTTACTTTTGGTGATGGTAAAGCTTCTACTGTAAGTGGTAAAGGTAAAATCAAATTTCCAGAAATTGGGGTGTTAAACAATGTTCTATATGTTAAAGGCTTAGCTGCTAATCTGTTGAGTATTAGTCAAATCTGTGATGAGGAGTTTTAAGTCAATTTTACTCAACAAGGGTGTTTTGTAACTAATGATAAAGGTGAATGCATCTTGAAAAGAACTAGAACTTCTGATAATTGCTATGTTGTGTTTTCAGATCCTTCACTAATGTGTTTTTCTGCAGTTACTGATGAGGTTATTTTATGGCATAAAAGACTTGGACATGTGAATTATAATGATTTTGTGAATTTGTCTAACAATGATCTTGTTCGAGGTTTGCCTAAATTGAAAATGCCTAAGAATGAAATATGTGGACCATGTCAATTAAGAAAACAAACTAGAGTGTCACATAAGAGACTTATTCATAAAATCACTTCTCGACCTTCAGAGTTGATTCATACGGATTTAATGGGTCGCATAACACCTAATAGCATTGGAGGAAAAAGATATTTTCTTGTTATGGTTGATGATTTTTCTAAATTTACTTTTGTTGCATATTTGAGGGAAAAATCTGATACGTTTGTGAATTTCAGGTCTATTTGCCAACTTATTCAAAATGAGAAGGGATATCGAATTAATCGGATTAGGAGCGACAATGGAGGTGAATTAGAACCCAAGAAGTTTATTGAATATTGTGATAAGAATGGCATTAAGCATGAATTTTCAGCACCTAAAATACCACAACAAAATGGTGTAGTTGAAAGGAAAAATAGGATAATTGCAGGTATGGCTTGTACTATGCTTCAAGAGAATAAGATTGTTAGTCATTTTTGGGCTGAATCGGTACGTACTGCTTGTCATATCCTAAATAGAGTTTATCTTAGCCCTGGAACTAACAATACTTCATATGAATTGTGGTATGATAGGAAGCCCACTATTAGATACTTTAGAGTCTTTGGAAGTAAATGTTATATCCTTAAGATAGGGAACACTTAGGAAAATATGACTCTAGAAGTGATGAAGGTGTGTTTTTGGGTAATTCACAAACCAGTCGGGCTTATAGTTTTTAATCTTAGAACCAAAGTGGTTATGGAGTCTATAAATGTTGTATTTGATGATACAAAATCTAAGATAACCTCTTCTCAACTTGTTGAAGAAGAAACTAATTTTGAAATTGCAGGAGAAATGAAAAAACCTACAATTCATAAGGAAGAAAGAGTTGAGGATTTAGGTGGAGAAGGTGAAGAGGTTGAACAAGATGAGGATGAGGAATTAAAGGTCACCATTGATGAACCTATAGGAATTTCGGCACCATCTTTAGATATTCCCACATCTAGCAGTTCTAGAGTTAGATTGAGTCATCCAATTGACAATGTGATAAGTCCATGGGATAAGCATGGTACTAGGAGTACAGTCCGTGATGATGTAGGACACATATGCATTGTACATGATATTGTTCGCTCATGTCACATGGCTCAATTTAAACCTAAGAATGTTGATGAAGCTCTTCAAAATTCTGATTGGCTTATGGCTATGCAAGAAGAATTACTTCAATTTGTGAAGAATGGTGTTTGGGAACTAGTGTCTCGACCTAGTGATGTTAATATCATAGGGACCAAACGGATCTTTAAAAATAAACTTGAAGAACATGGTCTTGTGATGAGAAATAAAGCTAGATTAGTTGCACAAGGATACACTCAAGTTGAAGGAATTGATTTTGATGAGACTTTTGCACCTGTTACTAGACTTGAGTCTATTCGACTTCTTTTTGCTCTTGCATGTCATTTTAAATTCAAATTATTTCAAATGGATGTTAAAAGTGCTTTTCTAAATGTTATCTTGCAGGAAGAAGTTTATATAGCACAACCAAAAGGTTTTATAGATCCTCATAATCCTTATTTTGTGTTTCATCTTAAAAATGATCTTTATGGTTTAAAGCAAACACCTAGAGCATGGTATGAGAAGTTAACTTCTTATTTAATGTACAAGGGCTTCAGAAGAGGAGGAGCAGATAAAACATTGTTTATTTTTAGGAAAGGAAAATATTTTCTTATTGCTTAAATATATGTTGATGATATTGTTTTTGGTGCTACATGTGATAACCTTGTTCATACTTTCTAAAGCTATGAGTAAAACTTTTGAATTGAGCATGATTGGTGAACTGACTTACTTTCTAAGTCTCCAAGTGAAACAACTTGATGATGGAATTTTCATATCTCAATCAAAATATGTAAAGGAGTTAGTTAAGAAGTTTGGTATGAAAGTGTCGACGACCGCTTGTATACGCCAAAATAATGTAGTGAATGTGCGGTTCAAGAAAAGCCTTTTAAGTCAAGTTTAAATTTATAAAAACCACTACCACCACTACTACTAACGTAGCAAGAGTGAGTAAAGATCATCCCAAGGGATTATACGTGTTGGAATTTAGCTTCGACTCTAGTGGATCACAAGATTGCAAATGAGAGATTGATTGTTTGAATTAAATTAAAATTCAATTAATTAAAATACAATTAAAATAAACTAGTGAGAGATAGGGATTTAAGAGATATGAAGAGAGGTCTTAGGGTGTTGGAATCACCACTAAGCTCATGTAATTAACCACTTGTTTTCCATTAATGAGGAATACATTGTTGTGAACAAAATGCGACTACCAATTGCAATATTAAGCATGGACCATCAAATTCATGTATAAATTGCCTACCTAACCAACAAATAAACTAAGTGCAGAACAACCCATCAAATCTAAGCATGACCCATCAAATTAGTAACAATTGTAACACACATCAATCTAGAGAACCATGGAATTTGCAATAATAAGCCATGGAATATCAAATCAAGTATAGATTGTCTACCTACTTACAAGCATGAATTAAATTGTAGAATAACCCATCAAATATAAGAATAATCCATCAAATTAATTGACAAACCCATTCAATGAAAACCCATGCTTAGCCATCACAAGGCTAAGCACTAATCACAACAATATATATATAAATCCCCAAAAATAAAAATACAAGAGTTTAGATTACACAAGACTTAGGGCTCATCCAAGCCCTAAGTGTAGATCTAGCCAATCATGGAGGAGGTGGATGTGGTCATGAAACCCTCAAGGGCAATCCCCAAACATGGCTCCATCTTCTTCTTCTTCTTCTTCTTTAAAGCTCTAAAGAGAGAGAGTATGTGGATCTAGAAATGTGTTTTTGAGATGAATCTCCATTTCCCTCTTCTCTTCTAACCCTAATCTCTAACTTTCTAGAGAGAAAAACTAATGAAACTATAGAAATTACAATCTAAAATATGAATCTCTCAACAAAAATGGTTGAATCCCTCCTATATACAAGGCTTTGAGAGCCCAAATATGTGAGAACTCGGCCCTAGAATCTTCCCTTACAAGCTCTGCCCGAGTTGGTTTAAAATGAGATTCAAATCTACTTTTTAATAACTTTCGCGAACAGTTCGATCGATCTCACTTTTCTTCGATCGATCTCACTTTTCTCAGATCGATCTCACTTTTCTCAAATCTATCAGACTTTTCTCAAATCTATCTCACTTGGCAGATTTTCAGCATCAGCCTCCTTTTGCTCCAAATTCTCACTAAGACTTAGTTTGACTCCAAAAAGGCCTTAAGAAACCATTTTTAGCTCGTTTTAACATTATTGACCTGAAATAGACAAAAACACAAATAAGTACTAAAACGGGTAAATAAAAATAGATAAATGGACTAAAATACCCTCGCTTAAGGGGTTTAAATGGGCACTTTTCAGCGCTTATCACACCCCCAAAGTTAAATATTGCTAGTCCCTAGCAATGAACTACAAAGTAAAGGAATGAAATGAACAACTATATAACTATGAAATAAAAAGCAATAAAAGGATAACGCCACTTTTGTAGGGAACACGATTGCATTTAGCACATGCAACAAGCCTTTTAAACCCTTAGGTTACCCCTAGTGGACGAGTGAAGTCTCGTGAGGGTTTCCAGAAATGATACCCACAAACATTAAGCTCATTCTCACAAAAGAGGCACCAATATTGCAAACAAGCATCGGGAGAAAACTACCTCAAGTATGCAATTTTTCAACCATTTCCAAGCAAGCAAGTATGGTCATCTACACAGCAAGAAAATGATTAAGCAAATCAAAACAATACTAGAATCCTTTTTGAGTGGACCGGCATCAAATATATTGCTATCTAAGCCAACTAAATAAATGATCACATCCTTACCCTCAACCTATCATATAAATTTAGTACCGATCATTAAGACAAAGAGTGGACCTTTTATTAAAACTTTATTGATCTAGGTACGCTTATTCTTTTCACTCGATTTTTTTTTTTTTTTTTACTAACCTAGAGGATCAAAGATGGAAGCATTGTAATGACCCGGTCATTTTCCTTCCTTTTCTTTCCTTTGATTTTTACGGATATATATATATATATATATTTTCTTTTCGTTAATCTTTCTTTTTTGGGTTCGGCTTCTCGTCACTTAGTGTCATCTTGAGTGCTCGGGAATGGTTTCCGATACTCTTTCCTTTGGTTTGACGACTTCCTTTGAGGACCGAGTCATTTTCATATTTTCACTTTTGTGACACTATTCACTTTTCGTCTTTTTCTCGATTGTCACTTTGTTGGAATAACCTCATTTTTCATGTTCGGATTTGATTCCGGTTTTGCATGCATTCATGATATTTAAATTCCATACTATGTGTATTTTTACTTGGGCAAATTTCTGTAAACCTCCAATACTTTCAAAAAGTGATCATAAAATCCCAACCAGTTTTTAAAACCCCCAACAATATAATAACGTTATCATTTTACCTCAACTCTGCCAATTAGCCGTTAAGGGTATATGAAATGACTAAATTATCCTTATTATATTCCCTTTTATTTAATAAACCAAAAAATCACATTTTTGAAATTAAATATTATCCTTTAGAACAAAACAATTGTGTTTTTTTTTTTGGAGCTTCGTCTCAGTGTTAGCACCCTCTTGATTTTTGAATCCTATAACAAAAAAAAAAATGATTTATGGGCACTGTATTTTCTCCTATCTCTGTTCTCCCCACAGGCTATAGATTTGCTCTCTGTTGTTGAGATTCGGGTTCTGTTGCTTCTGATAATATGCTGTAACAAAAAATATATATATAAAATAAATAATAAAATCTGTTATCGTTCTTACTGTCACCGGTCCTTTATCTCTCTGCTCCTCTTCCATTGACGCTGTTGCCATCACCCCCGGGCCAATCCCTGGTCACCGGCCTCGGTGCGTTTTCACCGCGGCTCCTTGAAGACTGCCGTTTTGGTTATCATCTCGCCGCCAAACTCGCCAGAATCTGCCATAGTCGCCGGTAACCTGTCCTCTCTGCCAAATCCCGGTTCAATCCTACCGCCGAACCAGTCACACATCATCACCGGCGACCTGTTCCTCCCTCTGGTTCAGTCCGCACCAAATGAACATGCCCAGATTAAGATTTACCCAAAAAAAAAAAAAAAAACACACCCAGATAAAGAAAGATAAAATGGTTCAATAATTCACAAAAGAATCTCAAATTTATTGATAAATCAAAAGTGAACAAGAGCTTACTGTGCTCATATCAGATCTAGAGGCCGGCCATAGGAAAGGAATGTCTGAACGCACTCAATTGAATTTGAGCACAAATGAGCCTGGTGTAGACGAATACAATGAACATCGCACTCACAGCGAATCTAATCACTATTATCACCAAATTTATCCCCGAATATATCATTTTTCTCCTTCTACAATTAACACACTGTCAAGCAAATCTATGTGCTGGATAACTTCGCTTTAAGAAAAACTTTTCTGCTTTTTTTTTTTAATGAGGGCGACTGTTAGTGACATGTTTACTTACATTAGTGGCACCCCAAAAAATCAATTAGTGATGATAGTGAGTTTAAAAGTGATGTCTAAATCATAATTTTACTTTTTTTTTTTTTTTTTTTCTTTCTAGATTTAAAGATTGTGAAAGTTGAATTTTTTTGTTGTAAATGCAGTACAAGGAAGTGTCGTATGATTGTTAATAATTAGAATTAATTAGATCATCAACGAATCATAGGCGTGGCCTTTTTTAGTACAGTACTGTGGAATCTTGGCCGATCCATTGTGTGAACTTAGTGGTACTGTCAAACTTCAAAATCACTTCCACTGCTTCCTATAATGGAGGAAACACGGCGGCTCGAGCAGCTTCTAGGACTTCCTGCAATATGCATGGAGGAGGGAGAGAAGATGAGTAAAACGTGAAGTAACTTTGGTGAGTTTTTACTATTACAAGCTTTGGGGTATTGTTGGTATAACATATTTAAATACACATCACTTGTTTGGCACATGTGACAACAGGGGTATTTTCGTCACAAAAGTCAAATTGTCAAAGCAATTGTTAAGCACGTGCTGGGTTAATGGCCCCAATTGACAGAGTTGGAGTAAAATGATAACGTTGTTATATTGTTTGGGGTTTTAAAAACTGGTTAGGGTTTTATGATCACTTTTTGGAAGTATTGAGGGTTTACAGAAATTTACCCTTTTTACTTTTGTAGAAAAGCATGCTAGTTGTGGTCTTTCTTCCTTAGGGGTGTAGATGCACACTTGTAATTTTTCTTTCTTTTGGGGTCATTTGTGTAATTACTGTAAAGTAATTATTTTTCGTCTTAAGGACCATTTTGTAATTTAATTTGGAAGATATTTTTAAAAAGGACCTTTTGTAATTTTTGAAAAGTGTAACAAGTGTCACACTCTCATTGGTCCACTTATTGACATTTGTGTGGAAACACTTTGATGTCTTAGATGATGACATGTGGAGGGTGGAGATTCAACCACTTGTTGGCTTAGGATTGGTGCACTTGTTAGCTTGGATGGTTGACAAGTGTAGGCTTGAGATTAAGCCTAGGATAGAGCCTTGGATGAGTGACAAGTGTATGCTCCAAATTAAGTCTTGCAATTAATTTTTGGGCCACTTTGGAATTATGTTGTTAAGAGGAGTTTTTGTGCAATTGACCAAAACTTGTATGTGTTGACCTTGGTATAAGACCACATAGTGACTAGAGGATTTCTATTTCCTCCATTCACATTCTTTCACACTTCATTTCTATCTCTTCCCTCTCTTGTAAAGAAAACCCTAGCCTCTATGGATGGAGCTTGAAACCTTAGGCCTTGACCTTGATTTTTGATGGCCTTCCACTCACCTTAGATCTTGAAGCTTGGAACACTTTTTGTTCCACTCATCCTCCTCTACATAACCCTAGAAGGGTTTGCCATTTTGTGTTGATTTGCCTTGGATTCTAGAGAGACTCTTCTCTAATGAGGCAGGGGATGTTATAGGGTTATATTTTTGTTTCTTGCATGCTATTGATGCTTTTATAAGTTGTATGCATCTATTTTGTTAATTTGAGAAATTAGTGATTTATCATATCTTGCATATAACTCATTTTAGACTTGATAAATGGCATGGCCATGAGTTGATCTTTGATATATATTAATTTGGGATAATTTAGATAAATTTTTAAATCTAGAGATTAAATGGATTTAATTTGATTTAAATTCTAGTAAATTGTATTTTACTTGTATTCCATTTTAGACTTGAGATATGGTATGACCATGATTTGGTGCTTGATATATGTTAATTAGGGATCATTTGAATAACTTTTGAAATCTAGAGATTTGATTAATTTAAATTAATTAAATTCTATATGATGTTATCTTGCTCATTTGACACTTTTGATTTGATATATGTAATGAGCATGCTATGTTGTTTAACATATATTAATTTGAGGTTATTCAAATTTGATTTGAAATCTAGAGAATTTGATTATCTTGTTTAATTAAATTCTATCCAATTGCTTTATGGATCTATTGGTATTTTAGAAGTTATTTCTATATTCAAATCATGGGCTTGAACTTGTTATGTATTCACTTTGTTGTGTTTTGAGTATTGAACAACTTTGTTGTTATATTTATATTTATAAGAACATGTTTTCTTTATGGAATATATTGATGCCATGTGTAATGAATTGCACACTTTGTAATTGACATTATATATGCCATTTTAGAATTGAAACTCTAAGGCATGGATTGTGTGGTTTCGACCTACTTGTGCATAGAAGGTGATTTTCGTGCATTATATAAATTACGTATAAGTTGTGAACTTATTTGATTATTTTGGAGTCTTGGGACATTGTTACAAGTGACATGGCTAGAGTTTGGCTCTAGTGCGGGAGGTATGAGTTCTCCCCAATTGAGATAGTGCGCACTAGGGTGGTCTTCCCAGCGGGTTAATACCCGGAATAACCATTTAGTTCTCGACGGAAATCCGAGACGTGATGTCTAAGTCTTCCACTATTTGATTTCGCATTCAATTCCAAGTTGACAATCATGTTTAATTGTGACTTGTGGTTTTGGCTATTGGCGATTGATGTTGTTAAGTACATCCATACTAAATTGTTATATTTAGTTATTTTCACACTTTTAGATTTCAAGTTGATAACTTAGAGAATCTATGTCTTGATGTGTGGTATTTGAAATTCTAATTGTACTAAATTGTTATATTTAGTTGTTTAGATTTCAAGGTGGTAACCTTGAGAATCTATATCTTGATACTTGTGTAGCACGCTTCTATGTTGGTTAATTGCGTAGATATTGTGATTTGTGCTTTGTTGTTCAAATGTGACTTCGGAATGATCCTATAGATTCATTTGGAACATAGACTTTAGGTGGCATGATCCACTATAATTGTTTTAGCATTTTAGATTTCAAGTTAGTGACCTTGAGAATCTACATCTTGTTGCTTTGTATAGCATGCTCCCATGTTACTTGAATTGCACGAATGATGTGATTTGTGCTAGAAATGATATTAGGTAGCTTAGGATGCTCCCTAGGTCACATTTGACATAGACGTTAGGTGGCATGAGCCCCTTTAACATGTTCCACCTTAAGGTGATAAAATTGTAAAAAGTTAGGTCGATGCATGCTCATCTCCTACGAGTAGCTTTATGTTACTCAACCACGTTGTGGGGACATTTTTCAGGTTCAGGAATTAAAGTTGAGACTCTCATTATGCTTGGATGGTTTGTGGACTTGGAGGTTTCCATCTTGTGAAGGTTGGCTTAGAATGCCATTTGTAACCTTATTTGTCAAAATGTGTATATTTGATTCCGTATATGTAGTGTGTACATGAGTGCACTCCTTACAATGTATTCAACATGTATAAGATGAGGCCGGAGGCCAATGTCATGTATTTTGTATCCTATGAGACTTATGATTTCATGACATATTATGAAAATATTGAAAAATGTCAAGTAATAGTTTCACCATGTTTGCATCGGGTGTGGGAATTTCATTTTTATTTTTTCATAGGGTCTCATTAATCATGTACAAAGTGTGACCAAGGTCCAAATGGTCATTTGAAGTTATTTGTTGATTTTGGTTTTCAAAGTTTCCATTTTAAGTTTATTTTCGCCTTTTTGGCCGTCGGGGGGTCGGATTTTGACTCAGCCATTTTCGGGAGCCGCGAACCATTCTCGTGAGCTCAAAATCACTATTTACGTTTGTGTGAATGATCGTTGTCATGAAAACCCCTTTCGTTTGTGTTTTGAGCCTCCTATGGACTTATTTCACCTTTTTGTTGAAAAATTCAGCTTAAGGGCATTTTGGAAATTTTCTTTGGGAAATAAATTCCGTTCTTGACTCCGCCACATAGAAAATGTGATTTTAGGGGGAGTTTCTTCACGACATTTTTCCGAAAATGTCATCTTGACCTCAAAAACCGTGTCGCAAACTCATTTTTCTGCTAAAACACTGTTTTTGCTGCATTTTGGGTGTTCTGTTCAAGTTAAACCGGTTCAAGAATAGTTGAACCGGTTCAAGGTGTCATTTTGGTTCAGCTTGAGCGTACTGCCAATGTTGAACCGGTTCAAGAATGTTGAACCGGTTCAAGTCTTCCAGAGTTTTCAGTTTTGGACTTCCAACTTCAAACTGATGTAACTTCTTCGTTTTAACTCTGAATTGGTCCGTTCTTGAGTCTAAACTGACCGTATCGAAATAAGCTTTCCAATGGTATGAATTTTAGTTTCAGATTCTTTTCCTAGCTCATGATATCCTTATTTTAGTGAGAAGGTGTCGAATTTGGTTCGAACAGGGATAGGGTTCTTCTGGGATTTCATTTCCGTTGGCCTTGAGACTTCATGTGAAGTTACCAAAGAATGTTTTTGGATGTTTTTGATCTCATTTGACTTGTTGGGATTCAAATTCCTTCCTCTTAAGGTAAAATGACCATTTTACCCTTGGTCATTCTTTTGGTAGGGTTTTGATACCCTTGTCTTCATTTTGCTTCCGCTGAGTCTCGAAATTCCTTGAAGGGCCATTCTTGTGTTTTAGGGATGATATACATCTCTAAGGACTTGGTTTCGTTTTGCTTCCGCATTTTGGATCCGCTTCGGGTCATCACAGGACACACTGCGTTAAAAAATCCAGGATCGCCACAAGCATAGTGCAATGTGTTGATTTATTAAGCTTTCTAGCGATCCATGAGGTCGAACGTTAGGTCAATGACTCCCAAACCAGACGGCGTTAGGGCACTAGGTGTTCAAACACCCTTAAGGACTTACAAGCTCAAATCAACTAGGCTACAAATCAAAACAACCTCCATCTAATCATTTCCCAATTCTCACCTTTTGGGAGAAGTCCTCACTTTTTATTACTTTTGCAACTTTTCTTTTTTTTTTTTTTTTCTTTTTTTTTTCAAGTAAGTTCAATTATTAACCTAGAATTTGGGTCTTCCACCTTTCGGCGCGAGAAATTCAGTGCTTGATGAGGTTAAAATCCCGGCTACTTAATGAAAAGGATTTGTTATCCACTTTTATCAAGATGAAAGCTTTCAATGCACTACTAGCCCAGTTTGAATATAACTAATTCAATAGTCAACAAAGTATGTACCCCACAAATGAATACTAGTGTGCGCCTGTGCTAGTGTAGAATCCTAGAGTGAATTTCAAA